GCGCACGCGCAGGCCTTAACTTGAGAACTCGTGTTGCAAACCCGTGCACGCTGTTGGTCTCTAATTATTGGAGGGTTCTCTGTTTTTTTCAGGGGGGGATTTCCCGTCATGATTATGTTTTGATCCTGGGCCTCTTCTCGGCCACACGGTGGATTTCTAATTCTTCGAGAGTTGTATGTTTTTTTCTTGGGGGGGGACCAATTTCCTGTCATTTCTAAGTATGCTGTCCTGGGCCTCTTCTTGGCTACTTGGGGGGCCAGGAACAATTTGAAACTTGCACACTTACAAAGGAGCACGGTTAGACAGGAACGACGTGTATGTTTAATGCCCTGGTACACTCGGTTGTGACATCCTTCCGGAACTTGTGGTTTTCGAAAAATTGCGGCGTGCGCGCGCGACGACGCGCGCGTGTGTTTTTCGATATACCTGTTGTTGCAAACTGATTTTTTGCACGTTGGTAGCTGTTGGCAAACAAGCTTGCGCGCATGTTCTCTATTTGACGAGAATGGGGGTTGGGGTCGAACCTGGCCTGGCTGGGATGATACGAGTTCATACTTGAAAGAGCGTGTTCTACCGCTGCTGGCGGAAAACCGGGGGGTGTCACTACCGGTTCGAACCCCTCCCCTCCCCCCCCCCCTCTGGAAAACCAGGGGGGGTCACTACCGGTTCGAACCCCCCCCCCCCAGTTCATCATGAAAAGGGGGGGGGGTCACTACCGGTTCGAACCCCCCCCCCCCTCGAAAACCGAGTGGGGGTGCGGACAGTGGTGGGGACGGTGTTGGTGGGGACAGTGGTGAGGGGACAGCGGGACAGTGGTGGGGACAGTGGGACAGTGGGACAGTGGTGGGGACGGTAGTGGTGGGGACAGTGGTGGGGACAATGGTGGGAACAGGGGGGGACAGTGGACAGTGGTGGGGACGGTGGTGGTGGGGACAGTGGTGTGGGGACAGTGGGAATGAGGTGGAAACAGTGGGACAGTGGAGGGTACAATGGTGGTGGGGACAGTGGTGAAGGCGGTGGCGAGGACGGCGGTGGGACAATGGGACAGAGGTACAGTGGGGACAGCGGTGGGGACAGTGGGGACAGTGGTGGGAACAGTGGGACAGCTCAGTGGGACAGCGGAGGAGTCAGTGGGACAGTGGGGACAGTGGGGATAGTCGGGCAGTGGTTGGGGCCGTGGAGACAGTGGGGAGAGTGGAACCGTGGTGGGAACAGTGGTGGGGACAGTGGGGACAGTGCGACAGTGGTGGGGGCACTGGTGGGGACAGTAGGGACGGTGGTGGAACCAGTGGGGACAGTGGTGGTGAGGACAGTGGTGCTGGGAACAACAGTGGGGGATGTGATGCGGAGACGGTGGTAGGGACCGGGAGTCGTTTGCTGGCGGTGCGTGGGGGGGGGGGGTCGAACCGGTAGTGACCCCCTCCGGTTTTCGAGGGGGGGGGGGGTTTCGAACCGGTAGTGACCCCCCCCGGTTTTCCGGATCCGGAGGGGGGAGGGGTTTCGAACCGGTAGTGACCCCCCCGCGGTTTTCGAGGGGGAAACGGGGGGGGGGGAGGGGTTAGGGGAGGGGGAGGGGTTTTGCCGGGGGGGGGGGGGGGGGTCCAGCAGGGGGGGGGGGGATTTTCGGAGGGGGGGGGGCGACCCCCGGGTTCTGGAGGAAAAGGTTGGCAATTTTCCACAGTAAAGCGGCGGTGGATCACGCTCTCTCTCATATTTGTACCTCACGATGGGTCAAAATCGTGTGTCCTTTGCGCATCCCTGGCAGGAGCGGATAGACCGAGGGGGAGGGGGAGGTCGACCCGATGTCCCTAATCCAGGATAATATATGTTGCGCATTCTATGTTGCCGGATGTATATTGCCCAATCTATGTGCCGGATCTATGTTGTGCAATCAATGTTGCCGGATCTATGTTGTCCAATCAATGTGGTGCAATCTACGGTCTGCAGTCTACGCGCTGCGTGGTGCAACTTACGTTGTGCAACTTATGGGGTGCGATCGCTGTGGCGCAATATCTGTTGTGCATTTTTGTGTGCAATTTACCTGGGGCAATGTATGTGGTACCATTTAGGTTGTGCGATCTATTTGGCGCAGTAGTGTTGGGCCCTCTAGGCGGTGCAACCAATGCTGTGCAACATGTGTCGTGCAACTTGCGTAGGTGCAATATATGTGGTGATGCCTGTGTTGGGCAATCTGCATACATGGTCCAGTCTATGTCGTGCAGTCTGTGTGGTGCAGCTTATGTGTTGCAGCCTAGGTTGTGCAATATGTGCCGTGCAGCCCATGTGGTGCAATCCAGCGGCGTCGACCAGCGTCGACTGCGGCGACGTGGCGGCGACGGCGAAGCCATAGCCGCCAGACCGACAGACAGTCCTCGACGACGGGCGGTGACGAACGGCGACGGCGGCAACATAGCCGCCAGACCGACGGACAGGCTTTAGTTTTTTGGTTGCACATGGGCATCCCTGAGTGCAACACACGATTTGGGAAAGCCCTGGCCAAGTCTCGACTTGTGGATTCTCAGCCGCCCTCCTTACATGGGAAACTCGTCGAGATGTTTTTCCGCGGAGAGGAGATGGCGAGATTGGTGCTCAGGCGAGGAGGGCCATGGAGAGGCCAACGACGGGAAGAAAGGCCCAGCCCGGCCGCGGGGCAGCAGTCGCCGAGCCGCGGGCCTGGCGCCAGACGCCGGCACCGAGGATCCTGAGCACCCCGCTGCCCCAGCGCCCACGTGATGGGCATGTTTTCCACCACCACCACCATAAGTAGGAGCGGGAGGGGGTCCTCCTCCTCCTCCTCCTTCTCTTCTTCCTCCTCCTCCTCCTCCTCCTCCTCCTCCACCTCCATCTCCTCCTCCGCCTCTTCCTCATCGTCCTCCTCCTCCTCGTCCTCCATCTCCTTCCCCCCACCAACTTATGGTGGTGGTGGTGGAAAACAAGCGCATCACCAAGGGCGGGCCGCGGCTGCAGAACGAGCCCGTGCGCTTCGCAGATCCAATGTCGCGCACGGCATCCTGGCGAAGACGCGCGAGACTGGCGATTGGGAGCGCGAGCAGTTGCTCAGCGAGCTTTCTCATCCAGACGTCTCCCATGAGTGGCTGTGGGCCGTGGACCTGAGTAAGGGAAAGACGCTCTCAAAGGAGGACTTCGTCACGGCCGTGCGGTTGCGGCTCGGAGCTCCGGGCCCAGACGTTTTCGCTTCGTGCGGCAATTGCAGCAACGGGGTGATTGGGCCAGTCGGCACCCGTGGGCTCCTATGCGCATGCGGGCCCAGCAGGCGCGGCCATAATGCTGGCCGCGACGACTTGTATGACATCGCGAGCAGCCTCGCTTCCACGACGGAGCGTGAGCCCACGGGCCTCGTTTCCTCTAGTCCAGGGCTCCGCCCTGTAGATGTTCTCACAGGCGCTCTGGTCTCACAGCGCGCCTTGCGGCTCTGGACGTGGGGATAGCGGCCCCCTGCGGCACGCGGCGCCAGCAAGGATTGTTGCGAGGCGATGCGTTGTCGCAAGGTCGATCGACCGGCGTGCGCCTTATGCGCACGAGTTGGACGCGGCGGGCGTCGATTACCGACCCTTCACGTTCAGTTGCTTTGGACGCCCGCATCCGCTGGCCAAGCCGCTCGTTTCGAGCTTGGCTTGCCGCGTGGCCCGGCGCAAGGGCACCGAAGCGCACGTAGAGGAGCGCTGGATCTGGTGCCGGTTCTCCACCGAAATCTGGAGGCTAGCGGCGCGAATGATCCGGCGCTGCCTGCCCACTCACGTTCATGAGGTCGCTGATGGGGACGAGGCCTATCACGACCCATCCGTGGAATTCAGGCGCAGGCACCCCGGCAGCGTCGACCCGTCACCTGTTGGGTCGGCGCCCGCGGCCGCGCCCTCGGGTTAGCTGAGGGCGCCGCCTCGGTGAGGCCGCGGCGCCGGAACAGCTTGTGCCAGGCCCTATGCTCCCGGCGCTTCGTCCTCCCTCCTCTTCCTCCTCCTCTGCCCCCTTCCCTTCCTCCGCTAAGTGCACAAATATTTTCCTTACGCACGGCCTGCGGGCCCGTGCGGGCCCGCTCGCGCGGGGCCCTTTCGCCGCGCAGGGCGTGCGTTAGCTAATTTTCTGCTCCCCCATATTCGGGGGAATGGCTCAGCGAACCCCGCTAATGAGGCGGCTGTGCCTCGTCGCGGCTGGGCCGTGGCTGGGTGACGGCCACCTCGTTTGGGGGGGTCGGCCTGCAGGACCGTTGTGTCGGGGATCCTAAGCTCCCACCTCTTCCTTGCCTATGCACCGGGTGTCCTTGAAGACCGGTGCGTTTAATGTGGCCGGCCGGGCCTTCCAGGCGTGGTATTTCTCTTGGTTTCGATCTCCCGCTCCTTGCCTCCCCAGGCGGGTGCGCGCGCGCCTAACGGCGGGGGTCGGTGGCTCAGGTCCCACGGTTGCGCGCCCGCCTCCTCCGCCTTCCGGTTCCTCTCCCTCCCTCCTCCTCGTCTCTTCTCCTCCGGGGTGTTCCCCCTAATCGTCAGGCGTCCTTGCCCGCGCTCGGCGTTTCAACCTCCCCTCCCCCTGGCTGTTGGCCGGGGCGGCGGGGCCAGACAGGTGGTGTACAGCCTGACCAGTGTTACGTTTTTTAATGCGATTAGATAATATTTTTGCAGCCTCCGTTATTATTTTATGTATCTGTAGCGTCGCCGTTGGCGGCTTACCGCCCGCACCCGGCGCAGGCAACGACGCTGGCGACAGCGACAATCGGGCCGAACGGAAGGGGGGAGATAGGGAAAGGGGGGGTCACGAAATCTGCTGCATGCAGCGGGTTTCGGCCCCGCCGCCGGGCCCATTCCCGGATACATTGGCGCCTCCCGGCGCTGGGAGGCGCCAGGAAAATCGGCTATGTGAGCTGATTATCACCCCCCCCTTTGCTATCCCCCCTTTCGCCCGGCCCGAGGCGACGACGGCGACAGCGGCGTGGACGGAGACGGCGACCGCGGCGCCAGCGACGGCGACCCGTCACCCGGGGGCAGGCGCGACGAGGAGCGGCGCGAGTGGCGGCGGCAGTCCGAGGAGCGGCCCGGACCGCGGCCTCGCTCGCTCGCCCGCGCGCCCGCCGCCCGCCTCCGGGCTCCGGCCGGAGACCGGGCGTTGAGTCCCCCTCCGACGGTACATCAAGCAGGGGCGAAGCGTCCTGGCTCGCCCTGCCAAAACCTTTTGTGGATTCCACGAAATGTTCTTGGAACATTTCTGGTTGAGGCTGTCCTGTTTTAACACATCGGGTCTATGTTCTAAGGACATTGTTTTTGTTATCAGAACATGTTGGGGTTCTAAGAGCACTTCGTGGTAGGACTATAGGAATGCCGGGACGGTCGGTCCCTGCTCAACAGTCGGGGCGCTGAAGAAGGAACTCTTTTCGTTGGGGAGGGGCTCCGTGCCCCTTGATTCTTTCACAGCTTGCTTTAGGTCTTCCTCAGGTTTTCGATGGGTAGTCGAAGTTTGACCTATGGGAGTTGAATATGGGCCTCGTTCCTTATTTAGGGTTCGTTCGGTCAACGCCCCGACTGTAGGTTTTTAGCCAGCGATTTTCAGTCCTCGTGAGCCCTCGCGGGGCCCCGGGGCCGTCCAGAAACAGCTCGGGAGGAGAGGCCGGTTCTGGAAGAAGAGAATCCAGACTTCTGGGGGTTCCCCGTTGCGGAAAAATCACGACGTCGGGGGTCCAGGGTGTCTGGGCAGAGTATTTGGAGATTCGGAAGAGTTTTTCGCCACCTTCGGCTTCTGCAGGGCTCGGGTCCCAGGGCCGTCCGAAGTCGATCTGGTCTCGTTATCCCTTCCCGTCCCGCTCCCTCTCCCTCCCTCTTGACTCCCTCTCGAGAAGTTTCCCAGCATGCGCAGCTTGTAGATCCCGTCGCTTTGGTTTTCGATCTTGGTTGATCGGTCGGGCCCTTTCGCTCGTTTCGCTCTGGGTCCCTTGGCCCCCCTTTCGTTTCGGTGCGGCCCCCCAGGCCCTCGTTCGCTCGGGCGTTCACGGAGTTCGTTGGCTCTAAGCTACGCGCAGATCAAGCAAAATGACTCCCTCACCTCTGATCGAGTCCTCCATCCCGCCACCCCAACCTCCCCTCCTGTCGGCATCAGCCACAGATGCTTCTACTGTGTGTGCGTCGGCCCCCAGGGGCGATGCGGGCCCTCAGAAATCTTCTAGTACACGCTCGTTGGCCGGCGCTTTCTGGCCATACCGCTTGGGTGAACATAAATGTGATGTTTGTGTGATATGTTCGGTTCGGACAGGCGCCTCCCAAGGGGGGCGCATAGTTCTAGTACGGTCGGGAACCTTTGGGCAGCGTGTCGTGCCGCCTGCTCTGGCCCACCACGCCTCGGCGCGACACGCTGTCCGCTTCCCGGTCCCCGGGCGTCAACGTCCCCAGCGTTTCCCAGCCTCCCGCCCCGCGGAGCGGAGCCGCCATCCGCTCGCAGGGCACAGCGTGCCGCTGGGGCCGCCGTCGCAACGCGCTAAGCAAAAGTTCCCGACCGCGAGATGTTTGTACTACATGTTCGGTTCGGACGTGCGTCTCCAAGGGGAGCGCAGAGTGCTGATGCGTCTTTCTTCTAGGCCTCCCAAATGCGGTCGGAGCAGTGAGGTGGGGTCGGAGGATCGCGCCGCGTCGTCGATGCATCGCCGATGCGGCTTGATGTGGAGCCCGTTGTTTCTTCACGCCGACGACGCCGATGACCGCCGATGCACCGCCGACGTCGCTGGCGCATCGCCAAAGCATCGGCGATGCATCGGCGACGCGGCGCGATCCCCCGACTTCACCTGCCCCAGCCCCATGTAGGAGGCCTCCACTTGTTGAAACCAAAACCAGGATAGCGAGCGCCGGAAAGGCTTTCCTGGACGCTCCTGGAAAAAGCTTCCCGAGGTGCTTCTGGCGGGGGACACGTATCGTAAAACGCTTAGAAAAGGCCAGCCAGAACATGCTGCCAGTTCAAGCAACCCCCGCGGAGGTGAATTTACGGAAGCCAGAAGGAGCTCCGCGGCTACCCTGCGGTGCTGGCTTCTAATCTGAAGCCGTCTTAGCTCTCAGAGAGCTGCAGTATCGTTTAACCGACCCCCATCCCCATCCTCATCGCCTTCGAGACCCCCACCAAGGTACCACCCCAGTTGAGGATACGCCCCTCGAAACCCGAAGGGGACGGCCTATGTCACCATCTGGGGGGGGGGAAATCGGCCAGCGGGGCCCAGGCCACGCCGCTGGGGACGGGGGTCGGATAAACAAGGGCGCCCTCGAGGGCTCGAAGTTATTCGCGCTTCTCGCTTCGCGGTTCGGCCCCGATTCCTCCTCATCCTCCTCTTCTCCCCTGGGAGGCGGCGCGAGAGCGCGAAGTCATTCGCACTTCGCGCTTCGCGCAGCGCGAAGCGCGAAGTTGGGAGCCCTAGATGAACGATGCCCGGAGCTGCCTGGGCACTTCTGCGCTCCACCCTGCCTCCCCCCGCAGGAGGCCCAGCACGCCAACGAGCAGGCCGCCCCCCCGCGCGCGCGGAGGGCGCACCGGCCCCCGCGGCCGCCGCGCCTGGTCAGTTCTGCACGAACGAAGTGGGTACCGAAAGAGTGGGCACGATGCCCAGCAGCAATTCCTGTTCATGTTGAACCGGACTCGCTGTCCGCGCCGCCGCGTCCTGTGTCCATGTGAGACAGAAGGCCGCCTGCCCAACAGCGGCCGCAGTTGGTTTGGGACAACATTTGTTGTTGGGCATTGTGTCCATTTTTCCGTACCCATTTCGGGCGTCCAAATCAGTATCGTTAACCGACCCCCATCCCCATCCTCATCCCTTCGAGACCCCCACCAAATTACCACCCCAATTGGGCACACACCCCTCGGAACCCGAAGGGAACGGCCTATATCACCATCCGCGGGGTTAAATCGGCCAGCGGGGCCCAGGCCACGCCGCCGGGGATGGGGGTCGGATAAAGGGCACCCGGGCGGGCCTCCATCGAAGGAGAGAACACGCATTTGTTTTGGTCGCAGCGCGGCAGATGCGATCCGCACGCGCGTCGGAGCGAGGCCGGGGCACGCCAGCGCGACGACAAGAAACCGGCGCACATGATACAAAATTTCGGAGCACCGCGCGGATCTCTTGCATCGGCGCCTGGGCCCCGTGGCGGCGCCTCCGGCGCCCCCCCTTGCGCGCTCCCCGCGCCAGGCAGGGGGGGGGGCCTGGCGCCGATCGAAGAAATCCACGCGGACCTCTGAGAAAGTGTGCTGATGCTGTTTTTGTCCGTCTGCTCAAGCTCGCGAAAGAATGACGCGCACGTCCATGAATCCACGAAGGTTTCGAAAGTACATTGCGCGAACGTTCGGGGGCCGTATTCGTGTACGTGGCTGGGCACGTACGTCCTGTGTGAGCTTCCTGCGAGCTTGTGCCGCGAGGGTCCCCGCCTGCGAGAGGTCGAGGGCTTGACATCTCCTCACCCCCCAGCGGAGGCCCGCGGGGGCCCGCAGCAGCCGGCCCCAGGACGTGCTGGTCGGGAAAGGGTTGCAGCGTGTGGGACGGTTGGCTATCCCTTCCCCCTCTTCTGGGAGCAGGAAGCGCACCACCACCACCACCATATGCAGAGGCCTCCTCAGCCACGCGCAGAGGGGGGTAGGGGGAGGGGAGAGGGCTTCAGAGGAACACCCCTGCTTCCTAGAAGGCGTGGGCCTTATCTGTAACAGCAGGGCCAGCGTCTTCTAAGATGCGGCCTCCTAAGAAGCCGTCCCCCCTCTTCGTAAGCCCTAAGGGTCTTTTGAGAAAACCCACCCCCTATAGTGGAAGTTAGATATCATTCGACGCCCTCATTGACGGACGGTGGTCCCGCAAGTAATGGAGATCCCCTTGCGCGTCGCTCTGCGCGCCGCTAATTCCCTCTGCGCGCCGCCAACTCCCTCCTCTGCGGCCGCTCTTCGCTTTTCCATCCGCTTTAGTGCGCTCGCGCCCGACGCGGCCCGCCGATCCCACACAGACGCGCCAGCGCTCGCCGGCGCTGCCGATTCAAAAGTTGGCTTCCCGACCTACGCCCCGCGGGCCTTTGGACGAGTTGCGCGACAAAACCCAGAGGCGCTCACACTCCACTGGAATCCGTGCCCTGGGCACCTCGAAATGGCTGCTGGAATGCATGAGGACTCCTCACCCTTCTCAGCGCCCGTGGCACAGTGGCGGCCACCTGCCCTCGGCTTGCCCCGGGGCCCCGGTGGCTCCTGCCTGATCCTCAGCTCTGGGCTCCATGCTGGCCAGAGCCGCGGGGGGGGAGACCAGTGCATCCACGCTTGGTCCCGCGGGGGCGCACTGGAGACCGAAGGTTCCCTTCGAGGCCGCGTCAGGCTGCGGGGCAGCATTGTCGAGCGGGCGGGCCCCTCGTCGTCATCCGTGCTGGTGCGCCCAGCCCCCGTGGAGAGTAGATGGTCGAGGGTTTGGGCCCCCCCCCACCCCCCAATGCTAATGTCATCGGGCCCCCCCCCCCCGCGCGATGGTCCCCCCCCTCCCCCTGTGGATGTGGTGTGGGTGTGGTGTGTTGCTGTGGGTGTGTGTGGGGTGACCCAATGTCCTCCCCCCCTCCCCCCCTGTGGGTGTGGTGTGGGTGTGCGTGTGGCTGTGATTGTGGCGTCATGCTGACGTGCTTTCGGAAAGCTCCCGTGCTCGACGTCGTCGCCGCCGCCGGTGCCGTCGACGTCGTCGTTGTCGTCGTCGTCGTCGGCGTCGGCGTGTCGTCGTCGTCGTCGTCGTCGTCGTCGTCGTCGTCGTCCGTCGTCGTCGTCCGCCGTCGTCCGTCGTCCGTCGTCGTCGTCGCCGTCGCCGTCGTCGCCGTCGTCGTCGTCGTCGTCGCCGTCGTCGTCCTCCTCCCTCCCTCCTCCTCCTCCTCCTCCTCCTCCTCCTCCTCCTCCTCCCCCCCCCATCCCATCTGGGGGGGGGGGCCGAGGACCCTGGGACCCATCCCATCTGGGGGGGGGGACCCGTGGGCCCTCTCCCCACAGCGCTTATTTTCGACTCCCCCGATTCGATTCGGTTCGATTTCGATGGCTTCCGATTCCGATTCGATCCGATGTGGGATTCCGATTCGGACCCTGGTTTCCCAATAGAGGCATACTAGCCTGTCGATATCTGCCGATTCGACTTCTCCCGAATCGGCTACCGATTTCCACCGATCCAATCAATCTCGATCGCCGATCCGACTGATCGATTCGATTCTGGACCCCCTTTTTCCCATCCGCGGCCTTCCTCCCCCTGGCTTCAGCAGTGCGGGCGGCATCTCGCCCGCGGCCAAGCTGCCTTCGCCTCGCAGGCCACTCTGCAGCGGGCCGCGGCGGAGGAGACGCTGAGGCCGGCCGCAAGCGTCCCCCCTTGCGGTCACGAAGATATTGAGGGTGGGCGGAGGAAGTGTGCGCAGACAGCATGAGTCAGGAGGGAAACAAAAACACACAGACGCAATTGATCGTCAATCCCCTGGAAAATATGGGAGAATATGGGAACTGGGGGGGAAGACGAATACCCAGAAAATATATGGAAATATAAGGGATTCCTGTTATTTGTGTGTATTTATTTGTGTGTCCCAGGGCCCCTTCAATGCGATTAGGAGGAGCGCGAGTAGAGGAGGAGGTGGGGGGGGGATCGAGAGAGGAGAAGGGGCGGGAGAGGTGGAGAGCATGACAAGGTCACAGGGCAGGAGGGGACGGAGCACGAACTCAAGCAGAGGACACCCGAGGGGGGCATGAGGATGCGACGAGTAGATAAGGGGAGAACACATGACACATGAAAACAGAGGAAGAGGACATTGAAGTTCAGCAGGCAGGTGGAGAGAGGGAGACAGAGAGAGAGAGAGGCGCGTATGAGAAACAAATGGAATGGGCCTCATGTGTGTCCATTTCTCGGTTTCAGCTTTGCTTGATGGTGACCCAAAACTTCGCTGCAACAAGCTGCATTGTTGCGATGCGGCGTGCTGGGGGGAGGTGGACATGCGGGAGCGCGCTGTGGTGACAGTTGGTGGTGTGCGTTGCCCTGCACCAGAGGTCGGTGTCCTTCCGATCTGCCTATTTGGTTCCTCGCCGTGAAGGCAGGAGGATAATCGATCGAGAGACCGTTCATGGCAACAAGCGTGGCGTTACGATTGTTGATAGTGACGGGAAATATTGTAGCATTGGCAGTGGTTTATGTCAGTGTACCCAGCGTGAGGATTTGGCGATATGTTCTGAGGGTGGTGATCATGTGCTGATGTTGAGATTGAGAATAGGAGTTGCGCCAGCGACAGCAACGACAATGTGAATGGCAGTGGCCGTGGCAGTGTGAAATTAATTGGTAATCGTAATGGCAATGGCCTTTGCACTACTGTGCAGAGAGACTGAGCAGATGAGACCGGGAATGAAAATCGCGGTGGACCGATACAATATGATGGTATCGTTGATGGTGATGGAGGCGGCGTTGGGCCATGGCCGTGGCAACAGCAATGATCTCTCCGCGCGCGCCGCCAATTATGACTGCCCCCCCGCCCGCCCAACTGCTGTGGACGGCCCGACGGGGCCGAGTGACCAAAGGCGGCGCCCTCGTAAGACAGGGAGGGAGAGAGAGAGAGAGAGAGAGCACAATGAGCAGAGGGCGGGAATGTGGACCTTGCGCCGGGAACAAACCACGCCATGAACATCACAATTTAGAGGTGCGCGCGGAGTTGCCCGGTGGCGCCTCTGGCGCCGCCCTTGGCGCGCGCCTCCCGCCAGGAGGGAGGGCCTGGCGCAGGTTCGAGAAGGCCGCGCGGACCCCGGAGTTGTTATGCTTGTGTTGTTGCCTGTTGACCTCAACGTGGACCCTGCCCCCCAGCCAGGCAGAACCTCGCGCAGCTGGAGGCCCGGTTGCAGACGGCGCTGGAGGAGGGCAATAGGGCGTGGCGGGGGGCGGGCCTTGCCCGCTCCGGTTTGCCTCAAGAGATCTCGTCGCTGCGGCGGGCGGCGGGGGCGGGTTGGGGCACTTGGGGCCCTTCAGAACTGGCCAAAATCGGTGCACTCCCCCGGAGCGCCGACCTGAGCATTTCAATCCGAAGGGGTGCAGCCGAAAGTTCGACCAGCGCCCGCCCAGCAGCTTCCTCCCGAGCTCCTGCTCTCGTCGGCGAGCTCTGGGTGGAAGTCAGAGCGGGCGGGCCTTCTCAGATGGCTCGGAAGGCCTCCAGCCTTCTGACAAATTATCTAAACCCCCCTCGAATACAGAAAACTTCTCAGAAGGCCGGGGGGCTTCTGAGAAGCCCCGCCGCCTCTGAGAAGGCATGCCCCCTCACACCTCCCCCCTGGGGCTTGCCGCCAATCTCACGGCGAGGGTGAAGAGAGAGAGAGAGAGAGAGAGAGATGAGGGGTAGCGGGGCGGGGAGACCGCGGCCCTCGAACGCCGCGAGCCAGATGCCTTCTTTGCACAGGTCCACTCGTGCGTGTGCAGCCATGGCGCTGAAAGCAGGACCACTTGGGGGTCAGTAGGGCCCGTGGTTTTCGGCCGTCCCTTAGGCTCGCATCGAAGAGCCCATTCGTGGCCGAGGTCCGCCGAGGACAGAAAAGCCCCTTCGTTCCTGTTGCAGCTTTCCTTATGGTAGCACGATGGCTGTACAGCTGGAACAAGGGACAAAAGACAGCCCGCCCCTTTGCATGGGTACCCTCGTGTTCTTCGTTGTCAGGCTCTCCTCGGAAGCTCTTCGCTTGGGGTTTCTGGTGTCGGGACCTTTTGGATAGCGTGTCGCTCCGCCGTTGCTGGCCCACCACGCATCGGCGGGACACGCTGTCCATTTTCCCGTTTCAAAGCGTCAGCGTCCCAGGCGTTCCCGAGCCCCCTGCCCCGCGGACCGGAGCGACACGCTATCCGCTCGCGCGGCATGGCACGTCGAGGGGGCCACCGCGGGCTCCCCAGATTTCATGGCCCCTCTTCTTCTTTCAGCACGTCCGCGGCCGCCCCCTGGGCCGCGCACGTCCGCAGGCCATGATTTGCACCCCCCCCCCTCTTGGACGCCTCCTTTTGGACATCCCCGACGCAGGTCTCTGCAAGCAGGGGTTGCCAGAAGTGCTCCTGGCTCAAGGTGCCCCTAGGACTCCCAAGCAGGCCCCCTCCCACGGCCTCCAGGGCGCACCCCTCGCACGGCCCAGAGGGCCCCAGGGGCTCCAAAGTGGAGCGACAAGCTGGGGGCAGCACCTTTTGGGCCAGGGGCCGCTTCTGCAGATCTCTGCAGGGCGCTGGAGGAGGTCCTGGGAGGCGCCGCCGTGGCGGCCCCGTCGACAAGCTATGCCTCTCGAGCGGATAGCGTGTGTCGCTACGCTCTGCGGGGCGGGAGGCTCGAGAAAGCTCGGGAACGTTGCCGCTTGGGGATGGGACAGTGGATTGCGTGTCGCGCCGAAGCGTGGTGGGCCAGAAACCGCGGAGCGACACGCTATACAAAAGTTTCCGACCGTAGTCCGAGGTTTATTGTTGCGCGTCTCTCGACGAGAGCGTTAGTCCGCTGGCGCTACCTAGGAAGAGGTACACCGTTTGAGCTGGCCTCCTCCTCCTTCTTTCCTCCCTTCGAGGCTCCTTCTCCTCCTTAGCCATTTTTTGGCGCAGTTCGACAGCGCGTAGCCCGCCGTGGTTAGCTTTGACCGCGACGTGTGTTTTTCACCAGGCGGTTCCACTGGGAGCACGCGGCCTGCGCAGGCCCCCCTCATTGTACCGCCTGCGTCGTATTGAAGGGATTCGGTGGGTAAGCACACGTTGTCGCTGACACGCGTTCTATGGGTCATCGAACGGAGACCGCCAGGGGGTTCGTGAGCCCCGAAACGGACCGAGAGAAACGTCCACGCCTGCGAGGCTTCCGGATGTCGCGGCCCTGGAGACCTCCAGAGGTCCTTGGCGACCCGCAAAGGACACAGAAACGAAACGTCCGTCAACATTCTAGATTAAACCCTCCTCCGTATCCTCCTCTCGGCGACGCGACGTTGGCTCCCCTTCTTCCTCCTGCTCCTCCTCCTCCTGCTCATCCTCCTCCTGCTCCTCCTCCTCCTCCTCCTCCTCCTCCTCCTCCGCCTCCTCCTTGAAGAACGCTTACGCGTTAACCTCCGAGGAGCAAAAAGAACCTCCGCCTGCAGCGGCAGGGCTGCCATTTCATGGCCGCCCTGTTGGCGACGCGTCGGGCCTTTCCACTCCCGCATGCTCGGAGGACAATCACATGGTTAGAGGAGGAAGGCTAAGGGTTGGCCGACCCGACCCTAACCCGAATCCTGAAGGCTCCTGGCCAACGATCTTGGCCACCATTGGGGCGAAGGACGCAGCCTCCGCCGCACGACTTTCGCAGGGAAGCACCAGGGGTCTGACCTGGCTCGTCGACCTGCTTGCCGCTCCCGCATGCCCGGAGGAGCTCATGGCCGAGCGGGAGGTGGCCTCCCGAGCGCAGGGGGTGGTGCAGCAGCAGCTCGCCGACCTGCGCCAGGTGCGCAAAAGAGCATTGCGAGGGGCAGGGCGAGCGGCGAGCGGCGAGCGTCGGGGGCGCGCAGAAGGGTCGTTGTGGACGCTTTGGGCGCAGGTCTCTGTTGTTCCTGGGCCTGCAGAATGGTACATGTGCTTGTGCACACACACATATACATCTATGTAGATGTATACATCTACACACACACGTATATATATATATATATATATATATATATATATGTATATATATATATATATATATATATATATATATATCACGGGGGGGCAGGCCTGGGGCCCGAAAACAGCTGCCTCGACCCTCCATGGGAGTACCGGGGCTCATTTTCCTTGTGTTTTTACAAGGTTTCCGCGTCCTGGGCCTCGGAGGCCGCCGCCTCCGACCCCCCGTGGGAGGACGGGGCGGCCGGGGAGACACAAAATAGTCCAGGAGGGCCTCCAGAGGCTCCCAAGACGGCCCAAGCGGGCCCCGAGTCGCCGAAAGACCGCTCCAGGACGCCCCAAGATAGGCCCAAGACGGCCCGAGAGGCCCCCCAAGGCACTCCACGACGCTTCAAGACGCCTCTCCAGAGCGCTTCAAGAGGCCGAAATCGTCAATTTCACTAATGTTTTCGAACGATTTTGACCTTCCACCCTTTTCGGCTGTCTGACGTTCCAAGGCGGCTCAATAGGCCCCCAAGAGCGCCCCAAGACGGCCCAAGAGGGCCCCAAGACGGCCCCAGAGTCGCCCAAGACAGCCCAACAGAACCCCAAGACGGCCCCAAGATGCGCCCAAGAGGGGGGCCACGACTCCAAAATTCGACCCTCCCGCTTGAAGAGTGCCAAAGGAGGCCCCAAGGAGCCCCCAAGAGGCCCCAGGAGGCCCTCAAGAGGCACCCAGGAGGCCCAAAGAGGCCTAAAGAGGCCACAAAACAGCCCCGAGGAGGCCCCACAACGGTCCCAAGACGGCTACCGAGAAGCTGCGAAACTGCCTTCACGACATCCCCGACAGGCCAACCACGAGATTCAAACCAACACCCATGAGGCCTCTGACCCACCACCCAGGGCACGGTGGCGGGAGCAGTGACAGCATTTGTGCACAGCATGTTCCGGCGGGAGCCTTCCGGAACACGCTGCAGGAGGAGGAGGAAGATCAGGAGGAGAGGGAGCTGGAGTGGGAGGAGGAGGAGGGGGACGAGGAGGAGGAAGAGGCCTCCAAGACGGCTCCAAGATAGCCGAAGAGGCTTCCAAGAAGGCCCTGGGCGGTCCACGAGGGCCCCAAGGCGGTGCCTGAGGCGCCCAAGACGGCCCGAGAGGGCCCCAAGACGGCCCCAAGACGGCCCCAAGAGAGGCCCAAGAAGGGAAACACGAACCGAGAATCCGAGCTTTCTACCCCGAGAGCTTCTCGGGAAGTCCCAAGAGGCCCCCAATCGGATCCAAGAGGCGGCCCGCGAGGGCCCCAAGATTGTGCTTGAGGCGCCCAAGACGGCCCGAGAGGGCCCCAAGAGCCCCAAGAGAGGCCCAAGATGGGGAACGCGACCCAACAGCAGAGCGTTCCCCCCAAAAGGCCCACAGAAGGCCGCAAGAGGCCCCCAAGTGGTCTGACGAGGACCCCAAAAGTTTCCCGAGGGCCCAAAAGGCCCCTAGGAGACGTCCAAGAGGTATTAAAATAGCCCAAGAGTGCCCTCGATGCGTCAAAACTGCTTCCAGGAGGCCCCCGGGAGGCTTCCGGATTGCCTCAATCTGGCCGCAGGTGGCCTCAAGTCGGGCCTCCACGCAGCCAGGACGGCCAATGACGGTTTCAGATTGCAGAACCGATGCCCCCAAGGGACCCTCAGATGCCCCCCCAAGAGGCACCCAAGAGGTGCCTCCAACAGCCAGTTGACGAAGCATGCGAAACACCCCAGAAGCTCCTCAGATGCCGTCGCGCGCCTGTGCTTGATAGCGTTGTCCAAGATCGTCCAGCGCCCCCCGGGCCTGGGCTAGAACCTGAGCGCGCGCGAAACGCGCGCGATGGTTCTAATACATATATACATATACATACACACATACATGTGTATATATATATATATACACACATATAAATATACATATACATATCATGCACATGTACAGATACGCGTATATATACATATTATATATATACATATGCACATGTACAGACAGTGCATCTGTACGCATGCATCTGCATACATACGCATGTGTGTATTCACTTGCAAACACATATCTACATGTATACGTGTATATCGAAGACGCCTACGGCGAATCACCGCCGCCCCCTGCCTTTTTGGAAGCGCCTATGTGGCCGAACGTTGAGGCCAGACCTGCCAAGCTATCGGGCCATGCCCCGAATCGGTTTGGAAAGCCTTCGGGGAACACGTGGGCATCTTGAAGGTAATCTTGGCCGTCTGGAGGCCATTTTGACCCCGGGCCTTCTTGGAGGACGTCTTGGAGGGCTCGTGGGCCGTCTTGGAGGCCATCTTGAGCGTCTTGGAGGCCTCTTTGGCCGTCTTGGGTGCCTCTGGGGGCCGTCGTGGGCCTCTTTGGCGATCTTTGGGGGCACTTGGGCCGTCTCGGGCCGTCGGAAGGCAGAACAAAAGCAAATGCCACCATCCTTCAACAACTCATCGGAACTTAATGACTTTGGCCTTTTTCGGGCCTTCCTGGAGGCCCTCTTGGAGGCTTCTTGGGCCGTCTTGGGCCATCTTAGGGCCATCTTCGGTCGTCTTGGTGGGCTTCTGGCCCGTCCGACGCCGTCGGAAGCCGTTTGGGGGGCCTCTCTGGGCCGACTTGGGGCCCTCTTGGAATGCTCCAGGGCCGTCTTGGAGCCCATCTTGGGCGTCTGGCCGTCTTGGATGCCTCTTGGGCCGTTCTGGGGCAATCTTGGAGGCCTCTTGGGCGATCTTTGGGCGATCTTTGGGGGCTCTTGGGCCGTCTCGGGCCGTCGGATGGCCGACAAGAAATAAATGTCGAAATCCGTCAAAAACTGCTGGAACATCATGGGACATCAATGATTTTGACCTTTTCGGCCCTTCCTGGAGGCCCTCTTGGAGGCCTCTTGGGCCGTCTTTGGCCAGTCTCGAGCCAACTTCGGCCATCTTGGTAGGTTCCTGGCCCGTCTGACGCTGTCGGGAGCCGTCTTGGGGGCCTCTCTGAACCGGCTTGGGACCCTCTTGGGGCGCTTCGGGGCCGTCTTGGAGGCCATCTTGGGCGTCTTCGAGGCCTCTTGGCCCGTCTTGGGACCTTCTTGGGGCCGTCTTGGGCAGTCATGGGGCCCTCTTGGAGGCCTCGTGGGCGATCTCGGGGCGATCTTGGCGGCCTATTGGGCCGTCTTGAGCCGTCGGAATGCCGAGAAGAAGCAAATGCCAAAATCCTTCAAACCCCAAAGGAAAATCAACGATGCTGGCCTCTTTGGGCCCTCCTGGAGGACCTCTTGGAGGCCTCTTAGGCCGTCTTGGGCCGTCTTGGAGGCTTCTTGGGCGAACTTGGAGGTATCTTGGACCTTCTTGGGCCGTCTGGGAGGCCATCTTGGATCATCTTCGGCGAGCTTGAGGGCCATCTTGGCCGTCTTGGAGGCCATCTTGAGCCGTCTTGGAGAATTGTTTGCGGACGTTGAGGGCGTTTCCGGTCCTGGGAGAGCCTTCCGGGATCCCGGCGGGACGGGCCGAAGCCCCAGGGGGAGTTCTTCTGGAAAAAGAACCAAAATCGAAATCATCTAGCACGCCAGGCACCCCTGCGATGAATCGACAGGGGGCGGCGAATCTAAGACGCGGCGAATCACCGCCGCCCCCTGCCTTTTGTGGAAGCGCCTATGTGGTCGACCGTTGAGGCCAGACCTGCCAAGCTATCGGACCATGTGTTCCCCGAATCGGTTTGGAGAGCCTGCGGGTAACACGTGGGCATCTTGAAGGTCATCTTGGCCGCCTGGAGGTCATTTTGACCCTTTCGGGCCTTCTTGGAGGACCTCTTGGAGGGCTCGTGGGCCGTCTTGGAGGCCATCTTGAGCGTCTTGCGTCTGGGGCAGGAAAACCGTTTGCAACCACCTCTTCCCGGTGGAAGGCGGGACGGGCCGAAGCCCCAGGAGGAGTTCTTGTGGAAAAAGGACCAAAACCAAAAGCCACATCGTTCGGCACGCCAGGCACCTCTTTGATAAATCAAAAGGGGGCGGCGGATCTAAGACGCCTACGGCGAATCACCGCCGCCACCTGCCTTTGTGGAAGCGCCTAGGTGGCCGAATGTTGAGGCCAGACCTGCCAAGCTATCGGACCATGTGTTCCCCAAATCGGTTTCGAAAGCCTTCGGGGAACACGTGGGCATCTTGAAAGTCATCTCGGCCGCCCTGAAGGCCATTTTCACTCTTTCGGGCCTTCTTGGAGGACGTCTTGGAGGGCTCTTGGGCTGTCTTGGAGGCCATCTTGAGCGTCTTGGTCTTGGGCCGTCTTGGGGGCCTCTGGGGGCCGTCGTGGGCCTCTCAGGCGATCTTTGTGTGCACATGGGCCGCCTCGGGCCGTCGGAAGGCAGAAAAAAAGCAAATGCCACAATCCTTCAAAAACTCATGGGACATCAATGATTTTGACCTTTTCGGCCCTTCCTGGAGGCCCTCTTGGAAGCCTCTTGGGCCGTCTTGGGCAATCTTAGGGGCATCTTCTGTCGTGTTGGTCGGCGCCTTACCCGTCCGACGCCGTCGGAAGCCGTTTGGGGGCCCCTCTGGGCCGACTTGGGGTCCTCTTGGAATGCTCCAGGGCCGTCTTGGAGGCTATCTTGGGCGTCTTAAAGGCCTCCTGGGCCGTCTTGGGGGCCTCTTGGGTTGTTCTGGAGCCATCTTGGAGGCCTCTTGGGCGATATTTGGGGGTTCTTGGACCGTATTGGCCGAAAAGAAACACATGCCACCAACCTTCGAAAACCTAGGAATTACCCTGGCGACCTACCCAACCCCTGCGCAATGCGGGGCATGAGTAGCTTGGGCGACTTTATACGGAGGTGATGACGTGACATGGGCGCATATACTTCTGCGAGCGGCATTCG